TAAAATGACAAGCCAACCCCATTACCACGCAACCTCCTTCAAATGGCAAAAATGTGAGCAAAATTATCAAAGATTGTTGTTTTGTGGCTGTTGTTCGGTTCAAAGTCGTGGAAATTAAAATTAAAGCCAACTTTGATGAGGTGTTGTGGTAATCATGCGAAGGTGCAGTGTTTTTACATCTGCTTTTTGTGTGATTTCTCTTTTCGTCTGATGGCGGTTTCTGGAGTTTTCTTTGTTTTGCTTTGGTCTTGACAAGCTTCGCAAACGTTAAGGTAAAGTTATATTTCAACGCAATAACACAGTTTGTTTTCCACATTCAAAGTCCTCGGCAGGTTTCCAGAAACTCACAGCCGAGTCTGAATAAAAAATAAAAAATGACTTTCCCTAACATCACATATGGTCAGTGAGTTTATCCACATCATGTCTTAAGTAATGCCTTGTGTGTTTGAGTAAGGGTTAGGGTTAGTTAAGTCAAGTTTATTTATATAGCGCTGTTCTTTCTATCTTTGTTAAGCTTATCTCACACACCTATAAGTCGTTACAATGACTTCTGTTTTTCAAGACTTACACACTTGACAATAATGAAAGTCTGCGCTGAGTTCAACAGAGGAATTATGTCATTTAAAAGGTCTGTACTGCTTGCTCTTTTATAGAATATTGTGTGTTTAAAATGTTATTTGTAGAGCACAGTTCTACGTCATGGTGCTACGTCCCTTAGGACTTCGCTAGTGGGATATCACGTGACCCCCAGGTCACACGCCAGAGAGATCAAATATATAAAATATGCTCCAATCACTAGCGACCCTCCTCTATAAAAGCCCCCGCACAAGGCCGCGCCCCCTCTTTCACTCTGGCGCCGATTGAGATCATACTTACATCTACTACTTCTACTTTGTCTGCTGAGATGTCTGCCTCAACTGCTTGTCCGATTTCCCCTTCGCCCTCCGGCGTCGGACGTCGTCGTTGCTTGGCGTGTCGGGTCACGCTCCCGTGCACGGACCAGCATCCACGCTGTTCTTGTGCCTGGGCTCGGGCCATGCGGCGGAGAGCGCTAGCTGCGCCTCGTGTCTCGCTCTCCCCAGAGCTTCACCTCGGTGGGCGCCACCACTCGAGGGGGGAGGAGGAGGAAGCAACCCACGTTGTGCCCGCGGATGGACCCGATTGTCCATTACGCGACACGTGAGTGGCCAAAGCCCCTAGCAGCCAAGAGGCCTGCTCTGGGGTACGGCATGTACTGCAGCATGCAGGACTGGTCCTGATCCAGTGGTGTCCCGGACATCAAGGACTCGGTCCGCATGGCTTTTCTGCCCTCCGCATCCGTGTGGCCCGGCGCCAGACCTCTCCTTCCCTCCGAGCGGGACAGGATGTCTTTGGCTATGCTGGACAGGTGTTATGCCAACGCGGCACAGGTCATCGCGTTGGCTAACAATATGGCCTTTATCACGGGGGCCCTGGATAGGTTGCTCTCCTCCTGACAGAGGCGAGGACCACCTCTGCGGCTCTCCTGCGCATGAGCCAGGCTTTTGCCGTGGATGGTGGCCGCACCATGGATGCAGCCCAAGTCGGGGCCAGGCACCTCTGGCTTGGGCTGGCAGACGTCAGGGAGGCGGCGAAGAGACAGCTGCTGGACCTGTCCGTGTCCCAGACGTCCCTCTTCGGCCCGGACATGAGGGTCCTGGTGGACAGACTGGAGTCTGCGGCTAAGGACTCGGCTAGGCTAGCCCCGCACCTAGCTCCAAGGCGCGAGGCCCACCAGGCTGCACGGAGCCTGGACAGAGGAAGGGAGCGCTCGCCCAGGAGGCGCTCCGCTCCCCACCCACGCTCCACCATCCATCGCCCCCCTTCGGCGACACCCCCGGGCCCGGACAGGGCCATGGGGGGGCCGAGGGAACAGCGTGGCCACCGCCGGGCTCCCTACAGTAGAGGAGGCCGGGGTGGCAGTGGGTTTGCTAATAAAAGCCAATTAACAATTGTAAACCGCTTTGTGACTCTGGTCTGTGAAAGGCGGTATATAAATAAACATTACTTACTTACTACTTACTTACTAAAAGCCGACCGGCATTTAATCAGTACTCTTTGTCTGAGTCTCATTTGGGGGTACGTAACATGTCTTTTGTGTCTGCTTATATTACTTCCCGGGCCCATAACGTTGCCCCGCTAGGCCTGCAACCCCACGAGCAGGGTGTGCAGTGCGCTACGAGGGCTACGAGCTCCGGTCCGCTGATCCAAGCTCTACCCTCCAGGACAGGTGGCAAGCGGAGGGATCTGGTGAGTAGTGGTGCGTGTGCTTCGGTCGAACACGTGGTCCCCACTCTCAGCCACGCGGCTAAGCACGGGGCTTCCCACCCCAGGGGCTTGCTCCCCCTCCCTGAGGCTAGCGCCAAGGGGGGGCGGGGCGGTCGAGTCACATGGTATGAGCAGGCCCGGACTTATGACGTCGGGTCTGCAGGACACGTGACCGGCCCCGGCGCACACGAGGTGACGCAGGAGGCCCCTCTGCCCTTTCGTTCACCCCCCCTCCCTGCTAGGAGCACCAGGAGAGGGCGGGGCTGTGACGTCTCGTGTTCCAATTCCCGTTCCGCCCCTCACAGACTTCTACAGCATCTGGAGGGAGCAGGGCCTACTTTCGGACCCATGGCTGGAGAAGACACTACGCAGAGGGTACGCATTGCAATTCGCTAAAAAGCCACCACCATTCCGGGGCGTGCGGGCAGCACGCTCTCAGGTCTGGGGGTCAATGGTGGCGCTGCAAGTGGAGGTCTCCTCTCTGCTGAGTCGGGGCGCAGCAGTCGAGGTAGACCCGCAAGACGCCGCCAGGGGGCTCTACTCCCCTTACTTCTTAGTGCCAAAGAAGTTAGGAGGGGTGCGTCCCCTTCTGGATCTGCGCACATTGTGTGATCATTGTGTGATCAGTGCATCTCCAAGCGCCGGTTTCGGATGCTGTCCACAAAACAGCTCCTGGAGTGCGTCAGGCAGGGAGACTGGATGTCTTCCTGACAGATGCTTACTCTTTGACAAGGGGAGGGCTGTCGGTACCCTGGCGGTGTTCGCGGCAGCCATTACCTTGGGTCACGGTGGTTTCGGGGGTTTCACGGCCCGTTCCCGTCCGTTGGTCAAACGTTTTTTGCGGGGGGCCCGCAGGAGGAGGCCCCCGCTTCAAAGAACGCCCCCGGTTCAGGCCGAGAGTGATTAGGTTTAGGGCTTTCTACCCGCCGCCGCATGCCTCGCCGGAGGAGGAGCGGCGGCACTTTCTGTGTCCGGGCAGGATGCTTAGGCGCTACCTGGCGGTGACTTCTTCCTTCAGGTTGGCTGATCAGCTGTTTGTGTGTCTGGGCCCCAAGAACAGGGGCGCCCCGCTGTCGTCTCAGCGGCTGGCGCACTGGGTCGCCACGGCTGTTCGTTGGGCGTATCAGGCTCAGGGCCTGGCCCCCCCGGTGGGTTTCAGGTTGCACTCCACTCGTGGGGTGGCGGCCTCTACGGCCCTGCTCAGGGGGGCTTCGGTCAAGGACGTCTGCCGTGCGGCTTCTTGGGCTTCGTCCTCTTCTTTCGTCCGGTCTTATCTTTTGGATGTGTCGGACCGGTCGGTGGCCCATTCCGTGCTTGGTGCAGCGGATTGAGTTTGGAACCGTGAGGTTTCCTTGTCTGAGGGGGTCTACGGTTTTGTTTTGTCCGCCCTGGTTCAGGAGCTCTTGGGAGAGGCGTCCTGTAGGTGCGGTGTGTGTTTTTCTCCTTGGTCGGTTAGGTAGTCCGCGTCAGGAGCTCTTGGGAGAGGCGTCCTGGGACTACGCGTGGCCTTCGGTCGGTGTTACTTGGGGGTGTCCTTGGGAGGAGCGGCCCTGTAACACGCAATTGATTATTCTTTCTGCCCTGAGTCCTCTCACTGTGTGAGGGTCTTGCTCGGGCGGGGCTCCAATCACTCTTCGCTGGCCTGCTGGGAGTACATGTTCCTACGGCCTCCGCGTTGTGTCCCACTAGCGAAGTCCGCTAAGGGACGTAGCACCATGACGTAGAATTAATAGTTACCTATGTAACTTAAGTTCTACGAATAGGTGCGTAGTCCCTTAGCTACGAGCCCATCAGGCCAGCCCGGCTTGGCAGAGTTCAAGAGGGGGCTCGGTCCTTGTGCAGGGGCTTTTATAGAGGAGGGTCGCTGGTGATTGGAGTATTTATTATTTTTGATCTCTCTGGCGTGTGACCTGGGGGTCACGTGATATCCCACTAGCGAAGTCCGCTAAGGGACTACGCACCTATTCGTAGAACTTAAGTTACATAGGTAACTAATAATTCACATTACATAACAATTTGTCCATGTGTCGTACTAGTAGTAAAATAAAAGACAAGTAACTCGAACAAGAAAAGTAAAGCGGAAAGGCAAGATGGCAGCAGGGGTCACGTCCCAATCTTGCACCCTGCCTGGAAAATAAAATATTAGAAACGGCAGGAACATAGGACCACAACCTGCGCTAACCTACCCTCTGGAACATTATTACGCACGGTCAGTAGGCCGTTGTGCACAACACTCTGGGTCCAGACCACACCTGGACCCACAGAAAAAGTCAAGCAGCTGAGCCAGTTGCACCGGAACGCGACCCATAACAGCACTCCCCTAGGCTACAGAAAGCAATTACATTAATACAAAGACGTGAGATTCTTAAAAAGTCAGAAGGACGCTACCTGTACTGTCAGGAGGGTGGACACCGGGAGGCGGAAGTCTGCGTGGCGTAGAAAGAGGCATTTTATACCTCCATCTGCCTCCTGCAGGTGGCCACGCAGATCCACATCACCACATTAACATAAAAGGAAATATTAGTAACAGGGAAGATACTTTTAAGTTTGGACAAACCATGTAAATAACAAATGGCTAAGACATTATGTGATTTATGCTTTGATGTAACAAATAAACTCAAACCAGGCAATGCTGCTTCAGACTTGGACCCGAAGATCAGTGAAGCTGCTCTCCCAGATGTGGATTTTGTTAACTCTGAATTTTTTTTTCACAGAATCGTCCTATAAATCTCACTATCAACGTGTGACTACAAGACCCTGGATTGTAGCTGAACGGAAACAAGAAAATTAACAGTATGTTTAAGAGACCCATTGTTCCAACCTTTATTTTACTGATTATGTGAGTTTTAAGATAAGATAAGATATACTTCACTGATTTCACAATGGAGAAATTCAGAAATTATCTTCTTCTGAAGGTTCATGAAAAAGATATTGCTTTCAACACATTACAATTTAGAATAGAGCCATGACTATGTCCACCAGAGATGTAGGTCCCAGAAACGGTTCTTCTGGAGAAATTTCCAAATGAGCTGACCACAAAGGAATCAGTTGTGCTGCTAAGAACAAGTATTGACCTGCACCGTGGCCTCCAGTCAAGAAGACGCAGAGCACAGACTGAACCTCTTACACAACAGTGGTCCAGGATATTTGGGTTTCATCCACGTTCTCTTATTGTAAAACAACAGACGGATTCATGCCCTTTTCACATCCAACTATATAATTACTGCTCGGTTTGAAGAATTCCAGGAGGTGGTTTATATCTTGGTCATCTTAATGACATTTATTAACAATCAGAGGACAAACTGTTGTGACCGCACTGAAGTGGTCCACAAAAATATGAGTAAAATATGTTCAGATTGTATAGGTTTTTCAAATGTATAAAATATACCTATATATTTAACAATCTGGCATATTTTATTTGTCCATTAACTGCACTATCCCTATAAGATTAAAGATAATGAAGCATTGTGGTTGTCCAGCTGAAATACATGTTGTATCTAGTCAACACACAACACCTACCTTGTGACAAATGAGTTATAACTCAAATACGACCACTGTGTAAATGTCCTATATACTTAAGTTTGGATAGACAACTTTTCTGCTGCTCAAGTAAGAAATACATTTTCCCACCACAGAAAGATTACATGAAGGAGACATGAGTGGAAGGGCTGTGGTTTGACATAGAAATAGCTGAGCTGAACATTGGGCCGCTGTGGTTTGGTGGTGGAGGGCTATTTACTTTGCCTTCAGCTGCACTGACCCAGGTTCACTTCACAACTCTGAGAGAGGCCTCTGACCAAAGAGCCTTTAATTTGGGTAATAGTTTGTTATTATTATGTGTGATGGCCTGCTCTTAACCAATTTCTAGCCACTTGACTAAATCAGCTTTGATTGAAACCAACTGATTTGATTGGCTGGAGGTGATGAATTGATTCTGACATTTAAATTCATCCTCACATTATTTCTATCAGATATTATCTTTAATTACACAGACACACTGGAATTATGTGCTAGGGTAAAATCTGGAAATCTCTACATGCTGTATGATACATTATTGGGCAGTTGAACATAGTTACATAAGATGTCTTTAGGCTTATAAAGATATAAGACAAAAGTGTAAAGAATATTACCTGACCTAATAATAACACCTGACATGTTTCGGCGGTGTGTCTCTAATCAGCTGTTGTTACCGGATCTGGCCAGACCGACAGAAGATCCGACTGGTCTGTCAGACTGGTCACACCCCGCGCTGAGTTGTGGAGAAGTGAGTGTGAGCCCGAGGTGAAAGCTCCCTCGTCCCTGTCTCAATTCTCGTATCTAAGCCTTAAACATAAAGGAGATATTATGAACTTCCGTCCATCCATCCTCTTCCCCTTAATCCATCTGTGGGTTGGTAAAGAAGGTCTTGTGGTTAGCTCGAACCCACAACCTTCAGGCTCAAAGGCCAATGCTCTACCAACTGAGCCACTGTTGCCCTTTGTCCTATGCCATGAACTTGTCATAATTAAATCCTACAGCTGTTGAGATGATGAGTTGTGTGAGAAAATAGCAACTTTTTAACTCCTGAATTTTCTTAGCTTGGATGTTGGTAATGAACATTTGTATCATAAGGAAGATGAACTGACAAGCTCCATTGACGAGAATACATGTGTCATTCTGGTCGTATAGCAATAGGATATCTTAACGTCCTCTGTATGGACAGGCTCAATGAACCATTCTTTGAACTCATACCAATATTCTTGCAGGTTGTATAAACCATATTCATATATTCAAAAGCCACTGCTCTCACTGTTGCTGCAAAGTCCAAACCCTCAGTCAAGGTTGCAGTGCCACAATCCACTCAGGCACACAGCTCTGGGAAGTGGGAGATGTTGAAACAGATGTTTTTCATATTGGCTTCATGGTGTATAGATGACAAGTGCGCCGTTACATTACTACTGCATGTGGTGTTAGCAATCTCATTCAATTTCATCTCTCCATAATTACTGACAATAAATTTCACTCTCTCAGCATCCATTTACACAACCCTTCAGATGAGACTATTTCAAAGGTAACATTTGCAGGGGACAATTAACATGTGTTTGTATTCTCAGGAAAACTTTAAACAGAAGATAATGTAAGTCTTACTGCAAGCCAAAATAAATAACATTCATTAAGATTCATCCATTAACAGTATGTAAAGTTTCTAAAGGTATTACATTTCTGTTGGTACGGTCTAATAGTGGACATACGTTTTAGTTCATTGTTATACATACATAGTTATGTGACATTGATCAGTTGTGTTCCTGTGTTTGTCCTTTGTCTCTACCCACCCTTAAGGGCAGAGAAAACAGACATGCATTTAACCATATTAAATAGGTCTATGACTCCTTTGTCCTTACTGAATGAAATGTCACATCTGAGTGACATTCACTGTGCATTTGTTTTTCATTCACTTCTGCAGAGCCGAGATACTGAAAATGATGGTTGCCCTTATCTCAGCAGCCAGCCATTTTATGAGGATCATACCTTAGATAATACAATAATTAGGACAATCTATTCATTTACCTATATGGATTTGGCCTGATTACCTATTTCTCTGAATGCCTATTGTCATGTGTCCCAGAAATTATGCAATCTAATAATGATTCTACTGGATAGCTCACATACCACCCAGGAAGTCTGTCTCTACCAAACCATGATGAATTGTATTGTGGGCATCAAAAATCAGGAAACTACTGGAGTTATATAAATGTGTTGAATTCCGGATGACCACTTAAATCCACTGCACATCAAGACACAAAGAAAACTAAGTATAGGTTTTAGCCGTGGAAAGTGTGCTGTCATTTGGTATCAATTTCTGAAGACTGTCTGGCCAGTCTTTTGAATGCAAGGCCAATGGAAACAAGTGCTACTCGGGACTCCCACAGATCTCAATATTACGGTTCTTTTTTTACATAATAAAACAGTGCAAAAATGCAGAGGACCAACCTATCATCTTCATATGAAATTACATAGTCTCTTTATCACGTTCATTTGCAGCAATCTTTAGAGCATCTTTCCTTGAATATGTCTGCTCTACACGCCATCACCCTTTACCCCCAGAGAGTTTAAAATCCAGTGCTATTGCGTCCAATAGCCCTTAAGCCACACAAATGCTTCTTATTTTCACCATATCCTCTTTGTATCATTTGTAAAGGAATGTGCCAGAATAGGGCAGCTCTAGCAAAGGAAATGCTTGTAGAATGCCAAAATGTCAGTCAGTCCATAGAAGTGCTTCTTTTCCTCCCCTTCTAACCTCACACGCTTCCAGGCTCCCAGTCTTGACGCTGATCATTCCCACTTTCAGGTAATACTGCAGACATGATATTTGTGTTTTTCAGACTTTTAAAATGGTTAAAACAAAGGGTTAAAGTTCTTTTCACTTTTCTTTAACTAATCTGAGCCTTGAAGCACTGACATTGCCTTGCTTTGCCTCTTTTCTGACTGCGCAAGATTCATTCATGGATCAGTGATGGCGATCTTGGACTACATCGAAATGGAAATACTTTCCAATGTATTGTTACCAAAATTGATTTTGATATCATACATTATTCTTTGTTATAGGGTTAAAGTTAAACTAATGAACCCTGGGAACACCACACATGGTTGAGAAACAATAGCGTAACCACATACATTTTGCTCTACACATTCTCTTTGCTTTAATCCCGAGTTCTTTTGAATCGTCAGATCACCAATGCCTTTTCCAATTGGTTGTGTCAGCTTTGGCCCTGGGAATGCAGAGCCAATCTGACCAACATGATCAAGAGCTGTGCCAGAAGAACGGAAGAAGGCAGAAGAGAAGGGGATGAAGAAAAGGCTTTAATTGCGGCAATGTTGTCAGTTTTTGGAAAGGTTATCATGGAGGTGCACGGTGAGAAGAGGTGATTCAGTTGGCCCAACACTGCACAGACAACATGTGTGGTACCCTGTGTGTATGTGTGTGATGGGACCACTGCCAGGATGAGACGGTGGCCAGAGGATCACCAGGAATTGGAGGAGAGCCTTTGCTTGATCCAGTTGAGGCCCGGTGGTGGTTGTGCATGAATTTATAAACCCTGGGTAAGTGCTGCTGACAAAAAAGTAATTCAATGGGTCCCCAAAGTGCAGTGCACATCGGTCTCTTAATTTTTCAAATGAAATAGTCAGGTTGGAGTTATCTCCAGTTGTATAGGTAATGTTTTATGGTCAATGGTGGATTGCATGGGAATTACAAATGAGAATAGCAGACAAATGTTGAAGTTCTCTGTGGGAGGAAGAGGGACAGACACGGCTGGGGTTTTCAATGGAAAAGGTGTGAGAATTTGAAAGTTGTGAAATTGAGGCAGGTGATTTATTTTGGCTTTCCTGAAGGATGCCAAAAAGCAAAACAGAAAAAGGATGTGCAAAATCCTCTTATGAGACTGCCAATATGTTAACTCAACTCTATTCCTCTGGGGTGGATTTAGCGGTAGGGAACACAAATTGCCCATTTCCGAGGATTTATAGAGATGAATGCATAGGTGGCACAAGATTAATGTGTTACATTTATTTTGGCAAATTAACTTCTAATAAAGTTTGAAGAAATATTAAAATCCGTTCAGTGTCTGGGTGAGAGCTGTGATTTGATTGATGATGGAGGGCAAAACAGTCCCACTGCTTGCAGGTGATGCATTTACTGCCTCTTTTTATTCATAATAGACTTTTATTAGTTGGTGATTGTTGATTCAAGGCCACTCATTTCCTAAAC